CAGGCTTTTCGTCAACCGGTTCCATTCGGTTCTAAAACCGTTGACCCCGGTTCGCTTCCGATTTCGGTTCTAACCGAACCGGTGGTCAGGTCTAGGTTAACCTAAACCCGAGACCCGACCCGCGAAAAATATATAAAACCCAGATCTTACGTAGCTAAAATGTTTATAAAAAATAAATAAACTAGGTTGATTGACAAATGTATGTGGAAAGTCTACATATATAGGTTGATTCCCCAGTAATACTTTTTCTGCACACTTGGACGAACGGAGAAATAATAACTAGATTTATTCCGTTTTGACGGTAACTGTTACAGACCGGCCTTCTAACGGTCGTATGGCTTCGATATTATTCTGTACTTCGAATCTACAAAACATAATCGAATACAATTCGGGACTTCCTCTCTAGGCAGCACAGTTTTGTATTTCAGAGTTTTCCGTGAGGACAATTTTTACACAGAGCTTATTCCAGTTCCTTGAGAAAATCAATGTTATCGACAAAAACCTGCAAATTTTCGGAAGATAATTATAAATACGTTATTTTATATGTCGCATTACTTTTTATGGCATATATATATATATATATATATATATATATATATATATATATATATATATATATATATATATATATATATATATATATATATATATATATTCGGAATTTATTTTATATTTTCGTACTTTTTATATATCGTAATTTTCGGAAGATAATTATAAATACGTAATTATATTTTTTTTTTAAACCGGGAACGGACACATGAAAATTTAAGCAAAAAATGCCAAGACAACCAATTTGTAGCTGTAAGAATTTTATTGTTCGAAGAGAAGAAAGTACCGTTTTCCAACCATCAGGATCAAGGCATGCAGTGATCTTGGTGTTAAGGCCAGGTAGAGGGCCAGGTTCTCGGGTGATCTTTCCACCGGAAAGCTTAATTGCTTCAGCAGTTTTATAAACGTCGTCTGTCCCTATTGCCATCTGCAAGAAAGATTTAAGACCGTCAAATTTTTCGAATTTTAAACATTGTCATGGTTATTGAAGACATGCTGAGGTGGCAGAAGATCAAGAACTCTATGCAGAAGAAGACATTGAACTGAACCTGAGCATAAGCATTGCCTTTGTCGTATTCCGTGACACCGTAATTGTATGTCAGCTCCATTACGGCACTTTTGTCTTCAGGACCATAGCCCATCATAGCTATTGTATACTGCAGCAAAACAAAACGTTCCGTTAATGAATAAACTTTGCTAAGAGAAAAATAGAAACAGAGTCTCGAAGAGAAGAGGAAGCTGAGCTCAATTTTTTCGCATCAAGTATAATATTCCAATTTCTCCATCACTTTTTTTTGAGTTAATTTCTCCATCACTTAGATCTGAATAAGAAGGGCATATTTACCTTGTACTCGGGATTGTCTCTCTTGCGAAGAAGCTCCATGCCATAAGCCTAGAAAGTAACTTGGATTTCAAAACTTCAACAAAGAACACAATCGCAAAACAGCGAATGCCTAATCCTATTTCACCATAGTATCTCACCTTCTCGTAGAATTCAATAGCTCGATCAAGATCTCCTACTCGAAGCATTACTTGACAAAACGGCTCAGGTGTGGGACCCCTCTCCAGAAGTTCGAACTTATAACCATCAGGATCTTCAACAAATGCAATAACGGTTTTGCCACCTTTGACAGGTCCAGGTTCTCGCGTAACTTTACCACCTTTAGCTTTAATGAGATCTACAGTCTTCACAACCTATGGTTCCAATTTTAACATGCGGTAAATTCAGTCAATCTGAAGAATGAAAAAATCTCAACCCCCATAATCATTTTCCAAAATCACAAGGATTATATCATGCAACAATGTTCATAGGTGCTGAGAATAAATTAACCAACAGAAATATATTTCCCGTGTATGGTGCACATGAAACAAGTATCATCCTCCTTCGTAGAAATACGTGGTGTTTGGAAAAGCTTATTCAAAAGCAGAAGTTAGTGATTATGAGTTCATTTGGTATTAAGTGCTTATTTCTAAACAAGTTAACTTTCAATAGAAAAAACAAGTTCATGGGTGCTTTTCAAATTACAGCTTAAAGCAGCTTATTTTAAGAGAAGCAAAAGCAAAAGCTCAATTTGCAAACCCCTAAAAACAGATTATGAGCGGAAAAAAAAGCTCAGGAGCTGTGAAGCTGTTTCTAAAAGCTTTTGCAAACACCACCACAAATTAACAGAAGCTGGAGACCTCAATACCAATACGTCATATATTTTCTTTCCATATCCCTGAATTCCTTTTGTCTTACTATAGAACTATATCTCCTAAATGTCACAAAATGTTTCCAACGAGGAGAAGATAAATAATTTTCATTAAGGCAATTTAAAAAAAATGTAGCTGAAATTGTCACAAGTTGCAAAAACGACGATCATCTGGTTATCTCATAGACAGAGACTTACATCATCCACTGCAATTCCAAAATGGCCAAATCCAGCTCCAATATCATATTTGTCAACCCCATAATCTGGCAATTTCAACAAATGAAAATGCAGCAGAGGTGATTAGCCAAGGCATATTCAAACACGAAACTTAGAGGTCAAGAGAAGAGTAATATAAAAAGAGTTTAAATTCGCTTACTATAGGTGAGTTCAATCACGAAATGAGAATCTTCCGGCCCATAGCCAAGAAAGGCGTTTGTATATTTTTCTTCCGGTATGTCACGCTTCCTAAGCAGTTTCATCCCGAGACACTCCGTGTAGAATCTGCATCCACCGTTTAGTTATACTAAAAAAACAGTCACTCCGATATTGAATCAACAGAAAGTAAAAAAATCAACAGCCCATTATTTTATGAAAAAAACATGTACTTTATAGTCTTGTCCATGTCACCAACACGATAAACAACATGTAACATCCTCCGCTTGTCTTTTTTAACCCAATCCAAAGCGTTTTCCTGTGGGATAGCAGTACTTGCTTGTGCTGCGCTTTCTGCAGCACTAAGCGATATGCCGCCACTCTCACCTTTGATAAACTTTGAAGCCCAAAGCCCAAATGACTGCAACTGTGGCACCGCTGGAAAACATTCAGATCATCAGAAGCTTTTTTTCAACCCAACAATATCGAAGATTAAACTCATGATTGTAATACTTGATTCTTGAAGATCGACGTAAATTTAATTAAAGAAAATAGATAATAAAGCAATACTAGTGTACTGTAATAATGAATTCAAAGATTTAATGCAGATGGAAGCTGAGAATTTGCATGCCACGTCACCCTCTCTGGCTACATTTACCATAAAAGCTGTTACAACGTGACCAAACTCCGACCGACAAACTACTAAATCAAATGATATAAGTTATATCTGTCATAAATTTTGATTGCAGTACACCAAGATTGATTATTTACTATAAATGAGCATAATTGAAGAGTTAATAAATCATTTTACTCGAGACCGTTTGTTAAAAGCTAGTTTGATCTCGATTTGTTAAAACAAACGGAGATTGAACACATAATTTCATTTGATAAGCTATGAAGCTCGGCTCGAGCTCGATTAAAAAACAAACTATAAAATATGTAAAAAAAAAAACAAGCTACTCGAGCTCGATTCGTAACCGGATTGCTTATTAAACCAAGCTCAAATACAACGTTGAGAGCTCGATAAAAATTCAATGAGGCTTGAACAACCATGCGTCCGGCTCGACTCGATTCGACTCGTTCACACCCCTAATCAATACTTAGTAATTGATTAACACAGCATAAATTACTTCTCCTTCCAGCATAAACCAAAATTGTCAACCTCATCATCACCATAGCTCAATCAAACATACTAGAAGAACAGAGTGTATAGAATTAAAACAATGGACCTCAGCAAAAATTGAAATCGATTTGTTCTAATCGACACCAACACAATATATTTATAATATACATATAAAGAACAGAAACAATCGGTAAACACGATTACTCGCCAAATGTATACATTCATTACACAGATTCAGAAGGCAAATCGAATCTCACAACAGCATAAAATACGGGGAAAAAAAGGAAACGCATACCACTTGCGAGATGAAACAGAGTGAGTCTACGATGAAAAGAATTGAATACAGGAACGCCGGCGCGGGGGCGCCGAGCGAAACCCGGCGGCGACGAGAGTGAGGGTTTAATCGACGACGCCATCGGAATTATCCTCGCCATTTTCCTTTTCCTCTATGTATATAAATATCTAATTATATATATAAATTATATTTTATAATGATATATATACAAAAAGAAAATGAACCAGTAATAAATTGAATAAAATAAACGAGAGTATGTACAGTAATATTGGTTTGATAGGTTTAAGTTTTTAAAAGTAAAAATTATTTATATTTTACTAGTGTAGGTATTTTTAGCTTAGGTAACATTAGTAAAATTGAAACGACATGTAACATTTCAGAAAGGTAAATTATGAAAAATTCCCAAACTTAGGTTAAATTACGAAAATACCCTCACCGATCCGTAATTACCAATATCCTCCAATGTTTGTTTATGTCTTACCCTTTACGGTTTCATGTAATTTTTTTTTCGAGAGAATTCCCAGAAAATACTGAATCTACCCCTTAAAACGTACAACATATTGAAGGTAGCCATGCGCAGATGTTTAAAAAATGCCTACGTATGCTATTGAAGTTCATACTAGTACTCCATAAAGTGTAACACATTGCAATGTGATGTTGCAGATAATGAGGTTGTTGCACAAGATACACGAGACTGTTCTTAGAGATAGAATCGGTATCTTACGGGAAATATTCCTTAAAATAAAAAAGATTCGGTGTAAGAAGGAAACAAACATCGGGGGAGATTTTGGTAATTACGAATAGGTGGAAACATTTTTCGTAATTCAACCTAAGTTAAGGGAGGTTTTCATAATTTACCAAAAAAAAAAGTATTATTTTATATATAGAAAAATATGTTGTGAGGTTGTATTTTTCAGTGATGAGAATATAAATTTCCCCCCTTATCCAAAAAATCGACCTAAAAAGAACAAGCACCGAATAAGCGGTGAATAAACCAACACCAACAGTAGTAGAAAGAAAAAACACGTGCTCAATCGCCAAAAACAATAAATATAAATAATAAAATAAAATAAAAATAATTGTAAAAATTAAACTCACGTCTTCTTCAGTTCTTCTTTCACATTTTTTGACACACCTTTACAATATTCTTCCCCTAATTCTTGCTTCCCTGTTTATCTTCAAAATTCATCTTCCTCAATCAGGTAATTTACGCAACTCGTTTTGTTATTACTGAAAATTTATCTGCTTTTTCCTTCAATTTTTATTTTTTTTTTTGTTTTTTTTCCCGTGTGTGTATAAGCTTGTCGGTTCTGATTCGTTTCCGCCATGGCCGGAATCGGAGAAGACTTCTGTTTATAGCTGCGAGCTCTTATATTGGTGATAGCGGATCTTCAATTTGGAAGTAATTTTTACTCTGTTGAGTTAGTTGATTACTAGATTCTGCTAATTTGCGAACTGTGGATTTTGATTTGATTTTGTTTATTTATGGATTTTTATGAACAGTAACTTCAGCAGAGTAGTAAACAAGGCAATATTTTTTTTTTTTTTTAATAATTGTAGTAACTCTACTAGGTGGAAGTTCAATTAAGCAAGTTTCTCATTGTGTTGGTAGCTGAATTACTATCATGAATTGTTTTTTTCAATCAATGTCATGAATTTATTTTCGAGATACCGATTGAGATTTGATTTGGCCGTAAAATTTGATTACCGAAAGTTCTTTATCTTCCCCGTTTTTTGTTGAAAACTTTTGGGCACTTGTGTGTAAGAGCAGACTGCTAATGCAACTGTCGATAAGTCCACTGACTCTGATACCATTTCTCTTAACTCACTGTTTACGATTTTCAAATGATGCTTTGTCTTTCGCGTTGTCGTCTAAAGATGTTTGCATGATTTTACACCACATGTTTCTAATAAAGGTGGTTTTTTAATGACCGTTTTTTGATATTTTCTTGGAGCAGGTTCGAATATGTGACGAATTCCTAGAAATTTTTAGTTATATCAAAATGGACGATGAAAAAGGTCTTGATCTGAGCTTGGGTTTACCTTGTGGTGGGAATAGCTCGTCACATAAAGGCAAGTACAGCAGCTCATCCGATATTAAATCGGACGACGGTCATGATAGAGGCAGCAAATTAATCAACGACTTCAAGAACTTTCTAGAAGGTGGAAGCCAACAGCACCCTCTAAATATCGGCGAGAACTTCTACAACAGCTTCCCCAATTCTTCTGTGGATCCGGAAGCTTCCAAGAACTCCAACACCGGAGGAAAAATATGGCCGACAAACGAAATCGAAGAGAAAAGATCGAGCATCGGTGAAAAACGCAAAAACAACTCGGTGACCGAGACAAGTCAACAGAAGAGGCAGGAGAGAGAAACTAACCGCACCGAGTCAACGGATAAGACGAAGGTGTCGCATATTTCCATAACCACAGACGAGGGGTCCACCGCGGAGAACGATGACGTGGCGGATTCGGAAATGGACGGCTCCACTTCGAGGCTAAAAGGTGTGGAGGTTTTAGGACAGAAGAATAGGTTTACCGTTTCTTCGGAGAAGGAATTTAATGTGATGCCTTATGGTGCTTCCTTTCCATCTCAACCGTTGAATATGATGAACATGTCTTATTCACAACCGCCTCATAGCATGATGATGCATGCTATGGGTTCGACCAATGGTGAACGGACAGCTGTCCAGCCGGCTAATTTTCCATTAATGTTTGGGTACTCTCCTGTCCAGCTTCCGGCTTTGGATAGGGATAATTCTCGGGGCGTTGTTTCTCATCATCAGCAGATTCATCCGGTATATCCCGGAAGGAACTCTGTTAATCCAGACACCCACAATGACATTCGGAAGCTAAATCAAGGTTTTTTGCTTCGACTTTTTTTCAATTTATTTATCTCTTTCAGCTTTGCTGGTGGTGAATTATTGCTGGTAAATGAATGGTAGTGGCTAGGGGTGGAAATTGGAACGGAATTTCCAAGTTACCGCATTTTCTGATCTGAGTATTTCCAATTTCGGAACCACATTTTTCATTCCGAATTCCGAAAGTTCCAATTCTTCCGATTTTTTTTAACATAATTGGAATACACATTAGATTACGATTTCCGATGCGATAGTATTTTTTACATTATAGGTAACTAGGAAATTGGAAATTCTAAATTCTGCTGACTCCAATTTTTTTTTTTTTATTGGAGCAATTTTTTTCATTCCAATTTCCGAAATTCAGCTTTCCAATTTTCAATTTTTCCGATTTTTTTTGGAACGGAACTGGAATGAGTTTTTCACTTAAGAAGAAAAAAATGGAATATTTCCGAAAGTGCTAATTTCGATCCGGCCCATCCGATATCCACCCCTAGTAGTTGATGTATGGTAGTAATAACTTGAATATCTGATTCAATATTGGTCTTCTCATCGTACTATTTTGTACAATGGATCTGAATGAATGGTGACTATTTTTGAATATGTTTATCTAAAAGAAAAAAGGAAACGGACATGTCATCGTAAGTCGTTCTGATTTATTTGATTTGAGAGCCACGTCGATTATATGGAAATAATATAATTTTTTGAAACACGGGACCTTAGTGAATAATAAATTTAAAACAAAGTTACTATATTTACTAGTCATAACTTCAAGAATTATGCTTTTGGAAGCTATGATGGTTTTATCAATATCTTCATTCCCAAAAATTATTAAATTGATTATGTCTCCGATAATCTGCCAAGCTATAAATATACATGGATTTTATCGAAGATCTTAATATGCATTTAAAATGTCGGCAATCAGGGCAATTATTAATGAAGTAGATAGTTAAAACATGGTGTGTATGAATTTCTATTAGTGTAAAAATGCAATCTTTAGGAGTTACAATAAAGAGAAACTCGATAAACCGAGCTTATATATCGAATTCCTTTCCTCTCTCTTCTATTTTTTTCGTTTCTCCAAATTGTAGGCCCCACAGGTAGGCGTTTGTAATACAGCTCCTCATAGATAAGGATCAAAGACTTGTACTAATTAGTTTTCTGTCGTCTAGAGCACATTAAAATACCATTTACAGCCAATGCGCGAGTGTGAGTGGTTTTTCATATCATGGGTCTGTCTGAATTTTAGAAAATCGTAAAAATATCTAAGACAGCTGAGAGTTATGACATACCCTTTGTCTCGCCCTAGTGTGATATATCCATAGAAACACGGAGTACTCTGCTTCGATCTCTTTTCTTGATTATATAAGACACTAATCTTGTTTCTTTTCATCGATCAAGAAACGATATTACAGTAATATGCTTCTATCTTTTTGCTTATTTTCAGTAACTAAACTTCACTATTATTTGTTTCTTGATTTATGGATATAACTAAATCTCAAATGTTCATTTGTAGTGATTTCGCACAAGCCAACCGAATCTCCAGCTAATGGAAAAGGCTACGGAAAACAACAAGTCGGTGAAGAAGGAGGCTCCTCGTCTCAGACAGAAGGGGATCCAAAAGTCAACCATCAAGTCAAAGATGCTGCTGCTGCGCCAGATCAGCCTAGAGCAGAATCTGCAACTCCTTCTGAATTTCCTGCTATAAGACCTGGTATTGCAGCCGACCTCAAATTCGGAGGTAGTGGGTCCTACCCTAACCTACCGTGGGTGTCCACCACTGGATCGGGCCCCACAGGTAGGACGATATCTGGTGTTACATACAGGTACAGCCCGACTCAGGTAAGAATTGTGTGTGCTTGCCATGGCTCTCACATGTCTCCAGATGAATTCGTTCGCCATGCTGGCGAAGATAATAATGCGCCCGATGGTTTGGATGCTTCGTTTCCGACTGGCAATCCTGCTGCCTCGGCTCAAACCTGATTTTGGAAAATTTAACGGTTTTTTAAAAAAAATATTAGTTATTTTGTTTTCGGTTTTTTGGCGAATAAATTTTGGCGTCTCGTGCAATTGAGAATGCTGTAGTGTCCTGCGCGTCTGTTGTATGTTGTATATCTGAGTTTGTTGGTTCTTGGTTTTGTTTCTTTGTTACTTATATAGCTTGTAAGGTAAAAAGCGTATTGTCGTAATGTTACTTTCGTTGGTCTCGTTTTTGCTCTAGTAATATATATATATATATATATATATATATATATATATATATATATATATATATATACATCGTTTATTTTATGTGTACTAGATTGATTTTGTTGCCTAGGTTGGATTAATTGTGGCATCTAATCTGTCTCTATAGACTTATGTCTTATGTTGTGGAATTGTTGCACTTTAATTTCCTTATTGGGTATGTGCTAAATGCACTATAATTCATCGAACGTTTGTGTGTGCTGAATGCATGAAAGAGGCAAGAGTACGCACATTGTTTCTAAAATTTTGAATCTTACATGGACTCCCCATCGATTGCAAACTAATAATGAAAAAGAATTACGTAAAATATAGTAAGTCAGGAAAAATACAGTATCCGTCCTTAAATTTGCACCGATTTCACATTTGGTCATCATATTCACAAAAAACACATTTGGTCCCTCATGTTTTAAAAATTCAAAACTTATAGTCATTTCCGTCAATTTTTCGTTCATACTAACGGAATTAAGTGTGAGCCCATGACTTCATTTCAACTGACGAACTAGCGGTAAATTGACCGATATGACCAGAAGAGTTAAGTTCATTTAAACATGAGGGGCCAGGTGTGTTTGTTTAAGAACACGAGGGACCAAATTTGAAATCGTATTAAATCGAGGGGTGAAAACTGTATTTTTTTCCCGTACTAAAATAGCAAATAGTGTATAATCACTCCATGTGCGTATTGACGAAATCGTGCCCGAAAATCTGTTCCTTTGGCGCGCTTTTAATTCATATAACCACCTGCTTTCTATATACAGTACGATAACACTAATGCTTCATAAAGCGTTTTTGGCCGCATACATTTTTTCGGCTCCAATTTATTTTTAAATCTTGGATTTTTAATTAAAGTTTTTTCTACTTCCCTCTTTGCCCCTTTTCCTTTTCTGTTTATTCATTTCATCGTTAGAAAATCACATATAAACCAAAATTCGATGTGACCGAAAAGATACGTTCCGTTGACAAGATTCAGACTCGTTTAAACCCGCAATAAAAGTTGAAAAAATCGGCGATCAAATACTAATATTTAATAAAATTTTGTGTTAAGTGAAAAATGAAAAATACTATTATGTCCCTCAAACGATACAAATTAGGATGTGATTATTATTACAATTAAGGATTTTATTAGAAAATCACATAATAACAAATTTTAACGGTTTAATGCTGGATTAATTACGAATTGAATATCCAACCATCTACAATTAAACCTCTATATATAAATGTAGCCAAATATTAAATTATCGAATTAATAATTTAGTACGTTTACACCGAACGTGGACCGCAAAGATATATTATCAAACCAAAGTTATTAATTTACCTAATATTAATTTATCGAGATTCTACTGTAACTAGTTAGTCTAATAAAAAAACAATACAATCCAAACTATTCCAACCCATGTAAAGGAGCAAGGCCTAAATTAATCGAATTAAACAAACATAGGGTGTACGTATTGTTTGGTTTGGCAGCTTCGATGATGCCGATGTTCGAACAGCAAAACCCTAGAAATAGCATTTCGGATAGAATCGATCAGTTCAGAAGTCCGTTCAAAAGTTTTCTGATTAAAAAAAGTGAATTTAGTTTAATTTGGTATGGAATAACGGTAATTGAATTTTTATTGTTCAAATTCCTTCGTCAACGGTAGTTAGGTCAAGTTTGAATACATGGTTAGCCAAGCGTTGTTTACGTCTCTCGTATAATTTACAAGTTATTATATGAGAGTGCAGGTTTATCCAGTGCACATATATGATTGGGTGCGGGTACGCTCGCTCCCAAAAAAAAGTTGTGATCACAACTTGTATCCAAATTAATTTACAGACTATTAATTATCTAGATTGATAATTAATTAATTGTGACATTATTGTAATTAATTACATAAATGACAAGCACGTGCATGCATTTTAGGTTAATTAATTATGCCAAATCTATGTTTTAGACTCCATGAAATATATACAGCAGATAAACATCTACATATTATAATTAATTTACGCACACAATATTAATTTACAAGAGTTTTGTGGTTTGAATATAATCACAAATATACCCTTTTGGAATTTGTTTTGGTTTTGGCAAGACGGAATATCAATGAGGTATTTGCAATTCTAATATTTATTTATATTAAATAAATAATAAATCTCATAAAAATAAAATGATTTTTTTTTAATCTACAAGTTTGTATAGACAACCCCGCCTCTCTCGTCGCGCCTACACTCGAAACCGACTCTGCTATATACATTAGGGGTGTCAATAAGCCGAATTCACCTGCTTTTGCAGGCTCGAGCTCAAGTCCAATTTGTCGAGTTCGAGAGCTTCGAGTATTTTTCCTCTTAGCTTGAGTCCAATCTTATTTTGGTTTTTTGTTTTAAATTATTTTTTATTATAATAAAAAAATTATAAAGTAAACAATGAACTAAGAAAATAAGAAGAAGGGTCGCGAGATCTAAGCTTATAAACAACTAAGAAAACGCTACCTCAAGCTCGCGAGCTCGAACTTTTTTCGAGCCGACTCAACTCATTTACAGAGCTAATATATATATATATATATATATATATATATATATATATATATATATATATATATATATATATATATATATAAGGAGAGAATTTCCCACAAGCATAAAAAAAAACATTTCCCCAATGGATGAAAAATCAACTACAACAACAATATTATTATCCATAATATCCATCCTCTTCTTCGTCATCTCCGCCATTAATGACGTCACCGCACAGAACCAGCTTGCAGTCAAACCCTCACCTCCACAAGCCGACGACGATTCCGCCACCAATTTCCAGCCAAGCCTAGCAGTCGTAATCGCCCTACTCTCGATCATGTTCTCCCTCACCATCATCCTCCTCCTCTACGCCAAATTCCGCCGCCGCCGCCGCTCCTCCTCCTCCCCGCTCAGCCGGAGAATCATCCAAGACGGCCTTCTCCGGCGGCCGTCACCGCCACCCTCCGGCGTCGACAAATCAGTCATCGAATCCCTCCCCTTGTTCAGATTCTCCTCGCTCCGGGGACCGGCGGAGGGGCTCGAGTGCGCCGTCTGCCTGGCGCAGTTCGACGGAACCGACGTTCTCCGGATGCTGCCGAAGTGCAAGCATGCTTTCCACATCGACTGCATCGACCGTTGGTTAGAGAAGCGCGACACTTGCCCTCTCTGCAGATGCAGAGCCGAACCGAACAACGAGGTCGGTTCGGATCCGCAGTGCTCGGAGGGGTTTCCGTGGGACCCGCCAGATCATCACGGATACTCCAATCTCGAACTGTACGTAGAGCGAGAGGAATATTCCTCGAGCTTCGGATCCAAACCCCAAGAAGAAGAAGAAGAAGAAGGTTTGTCAATGCAGATTAATAATACTAATACTAATACTGATAATAATAATAATCGGGATCGAATTTTTCATAAGTTGAACCACAAGATCAACGTTATCTTCGAGTGTTATAACGTACTGAAGAATCGATGGAGCGACGTTAGCTCTTCGGACATGCTGTATCTCAACTCGGAGATGCTGGCTGACGTGTCCGATTCGAGATTCTTGAACTCGTGTAATTTGGAGAATAATTCAAGAAAGAATCATGATTATTCAATGATGAATAATATTAAAGAGGAGATGGAGAGGAAAAGAGTGTTTGAGAGCAAGGTGAAGGAGATCAAGAATCACACGAGAATAGTTAAGTCGGATTATTCGACACAAAAACGAGACGGGCTCGAATCGGATATGCGATCGGTGTCCGAGATAAAAGTTCATCCAAGATTAAGAGATCTTCAGTTGAGGAATAGTGGAAACTCAGATTTAGTTGATGAAGAGGAGGTTATGAGAAGGAGGGTTTGGCTGCAAATTGCAAGAAGAACAATTCAATGGTTTGCAAATAGAGAAGAACCAAGGCCCTCAACACAAATTAATGTTTAATTAGTACTTCTAATCAAGATTAGAATTTTTTTTTCTTGTTTCTTGATTCTCTTTCTATTACATAGTTGCAAGTTAGAGGAACTCTTTCAGCTTAGAAACTAGTAATTAAATCATACTAGAATTTTTTCAGTGTTATGGTCGACGAAGATGAACAAGATAGACGGAAAATGTAAAATCGAGAGAGAATTCAGAAAATAGTGTATATTGATTGTTGAATTTTGTAATCGCGTAACCTTAATCGGGTTTGATACATTTATTTATATATATAGGACACTATGTATGGTTATTTCCTAATTTAAAACCCGTTCGCTCGAGATTCACACTGATTGTTCAATTATTGAATCTAATTTACACTTTTTCACTATCTATTTATGAAAGTTATCTCCGGATCGCATGTTTCAATGGTCGTAGGCAGGGGCGAGTCCACCCTTGGGCAAAGGGTGGACTCAAGGCCACTCTCATTTTTTAATTTGCCCCATATATTATATCATATTTCTATTTAGCTCACCCAAATTTTATTAACTAGCTCACCCAAAATTTCAATTAATGTAAAAGAAGCCCCATATTTTATTAATTAGTCTACCCAAAATTCAAATTAATACAAAAAAGTCTCAAATTTTATTAATTAACCCACCCAAAATCCAAATTAATACTAAAAAATCTCTAAAATTTGTTTTTTTTTTCTTTTTTTTTTTCGTTTCTCCTTTTCCTATTTTCAAAAATTCCTAAAAAATCTCGGGGGCGCTGACCCCGAACCCCCGAAAATTGAAGCCTCCTGTACCGAATTCCTGGACTCGCCATTGGTCGTAGGGCCAGCTAACCACCTACCGCGCCTTCCTTTAGCATCGTTAGATTTATCACTTATAATTCGGATTTTGTGTTGTTGACTTTGATGACTTAAATAATTTGTCGGCTAGTGACACTAAATTGGTAAGCAAGAAGACAAAATCATGGACGCAATATGCAAATCTTATGTAGATTTGTTTTGAAAACAAAGAATTTCATAAATATCGTAATTAGATTATTATTATTATTATTTTTCCCTAAAAAAAAGCATAAAATTCATGATAAATTACAGATATCACCCTTGAAGTTCCATTTATTTACCATGAGATCCGCCAACTTGCGTCACAGCTGAGAGATATATGTTAGCAATTAAGATAGATCAATTTAGGAAAATGACAAACCAATTTGAATAAAATACATGTCACGTACTAATCCATCCCATATAAACTACTTTATAATTAAATAGGATCACCTTTTATTTTAGAGATTCTAGCTACTAAATTATTTTTGGCTAGTTTAATATACTAGACAATTTAAATACCATACGTTGGATATAGCGTTTCCATTTATTAAATTTCGCTGATTAATAGCCCTTTTACTCACTTGAAATGTTTGGAATACCTAGGGGTGTAAGTTGGAACGGAAATTCCAATTTCCGCCGGTTCCGATCCGAAAAGTTCCGATTTTGGAACAACTTTTTTCATTCCGATTTTCGAATTTTTCCGAATTTTTTGGATTGGAATTGGAATTATATAAAATAAATTTGGAATTTCCGATTTCCGATTTCCGATCCGATTTGATTCCGAAATTAATTCCGAAAAATTCCGATGTTTTTCCGAAAAATACACCTATAAATAATAAATATTATATAATACTTATCTTTCCGAAAAATACACCTTTAAGTTTTGTTTTAGGATTTTGACATAATGAATTGTTGTTAGAAGTTTTATTAAATATTATGTTGTGATTATGTTTATTTATTTTTTGAACTGAAATTTAATAGTTATTAGTTTTACTTTTATCGACGTGGATGTTCTTATTTTTGGAAAATTATGAACATTTTAAAAAAAAATCGCTAAGTTTTGAAATTTTTAAGCTCATGTGATTTCCGATTTTTTTTCGAAATTCCGAAAATTCCGGGACTTTTGGAATTGGAATGAATTTTTAGATTCCGGAAATTTTGGAATTGGAGTTAGAATTGATTTTGTACTTCCGAAATTTTTTGGAAATTTTCCGAAAAGGCCAATTCCGATCCGATCCATCCGACTTTCACCCCTAGGAATACCCTTTATTAGATGATTTTGTATTTTCTTTATCCGCTTCATTTAATCTATATATGTAACCAAACACCCCTTATCCATTCTTCCAATATATTCACAAATATGTCTGAATCTTTCCAAAATTACGACGAAAAAAAAAAATGTCATGCTCAACATATGTTCCGTTTTCGTGCCACCGTAGCTCTCTGCCCCATGTCTGAAAAAATGGACATATTTAGTGATAGTCAACAACCCTTGGTTGAAGTGCTAGGATGTTAGTTGCCACAATCATTAAGAATAATGAGACTGTAAAGGAACTTTTGATACTGTAATAGAAAAGTACAGATCCAGATACGCTGATTCTTCAAAACCTAGCCCCGACTGTACGAGTCGGTGACGAGCAACAAAGACGTGTGTACAACAGTGAAGATGCACATCGTCGACATTATATATTATTTTTCAAAAAGACTATATTCATCGCCATCGAAATGATCCCGACGTAATTCAGGTAATTCTTCGTTTCCTAGTAAGCATGTACACGAAACTATAATATATGTAACAAATTTAGCAATGTTTGATTGCTTCATTATGATGGCATGACATTCAAAAGATCCAAAGATCTAAAATTTAATCCCAAAGTATAATAAATATATTTCAATCCCTTTCTCTTAAGGGCTTCCAATCATAAATGTATATAGGATACACAAACCTATGAATTTTCATAAGTAGGGATAATGTTGCATCATCTCATAATTAATGTCTTCATACATTTACATAATCTACCTATTCACAATTATAAAAAAAATTGGGGGAAAATAAAATAAAATTGATGAGTACCATATATATATATATATGTAAGCAATTTTACCGTTTTCCAAACAAATTACGCCGAGTCGGAAAAACTCCATCGAAGGAGCAAAAAGTTTTTATTTTCTTACCAGTCCTCAAGCCATTCTGGTGTGTTGAGTTCTTCCAAATCTCGAGTCGGAGAATATACTGAAGATTCTGTATCATCGGAGTGACTTTCGAGGTACAGTTTTATACGCGAGATAATCTCGGGTGGAACAGGAACCGTCCGATCTGCTAATCCTTTCCAATCGACACAATCAAACCACGGATGGGATTTGACCGAGTCAACACCTTGACTTCCGAGTCTCGCACTTTCGTCTACCTCCAGTAGCTGAAACAATATTACAATTGTGTTAGCTTTCGTGTAGTTTTTTTTTTTTTTTTTCTAACTGTGGTTTCAAATCGCAACGGAAGAAGAAGTTGATAATGAATGTTGACCTTAGTTATGAGGTCAACAGCTTCGACGCTGAAATTATGGGGAAGTGTGAGCTGTCCTTTGACTATTCGCCCGAACGTGAGCTCGCTTTCTCTCCAAGATCCGAAAGGCATTTCACCTTGTAGCATGAAGTAAATCAAACTTCCCAAAGCCCACCTGCCCACAATTATTACAAGAGGGAAATCGGGATTGATAGTGCAACAAAATCGACCAGAGAAAAATTGAGGGGACAAATACTGATGGGAAAGTTTGTACCTTATTATTTAGTAAAAAGAGAAACTATTTGCTATATATATATATATATATATATATATATATATATATATAGAGAGAGAGAGAGAGAGAGAGAGAGAGAGATCTCGACTCTAATAGGCATACATACCAGTCAGCGGGAAAGCCATGACCTTTCCCTTGGATTACTTCAGGAGCCAAAGAATCCGCCATACCACAAACGGTATATGCCCTCTCAAAAGAATCACCAGATAACTCCTTCCCAAATCTGAAGTCCACTAGCTATATTGAACCGAGAAATTCATTATCATTTTCATGTATATTCGTCGTGCAAAGAAACTCAAAATTACTGAATCTTGAAAAAAAAAATCAACTAAACTAACCTGTATATACCCCGTCTGATCGAACACTAGAACATCAGGGGACACACCTCGATAGAGAATTCCACACTGCATTATTAATTTTAAAAAAAAAAAACCATTCAGTTAAAGGAAAATTTTATTTGCAGATAGAAACGAAATTTGATGTGGCCCAGTCGACCCTTATACCTTGTGCAAACCTTCTAAGGCAATAACAACAGATGCAGCACAAAACTGTGCAGAAGTTTCGTCGAGTGCATTGTGAATTATCGGTGTCATGGAGCAAGCTACACGTGTGTCCAAAAGTACGGCGGCATATGATTGGTCGGCACAAGTGCATATAACTCGAGGTACGAAAGGAGACTGGCTTACAGAACTCAATAGTTTCTTTTCCTTCAGTACTAATTCTTCTTTCCCGAGTTTTTTAACCTTCTGCTTCGAAAATCTTTTCAAACTAAGCAAATTTTCTGCAGGAAAAAACGGCTTCCGGTTAGAAATTAATGGAAACTTCTTCATAAGCATCAATAGTCGAGAAAACCGACCTGAATCTTTAACACGTACAAGGCCGATCTCGCTGCAGTCTGTGGAATACACACAAGTTCTCCACTCCTTGAAAAAAATATAAATGTCAAATTATTTTTTTCTTCCAGTGGTAAATCATTCAAAACAAACTAAAAGACAGAAGAATGTTTCTTACCAAATCAGCAAGCTGAATATTCTTAATTGTTGAAGTATCAAACTTTCTGTCGGATTCCGAGGATAAATTAGTTGTATAGTGCTTCGACGACCTAAACAAATTTTAAATGTACTCGAGTCAAACACTACTGCAATAAACGCGTATAAATATACATGAAAACTAAAAGTTCAACAGTTACTTATGATCATCCCGTGAAAGCTTTGCCAGAGGGCCCACAACTGAATCAAACTTCTCCTTCGTTAAAATCGAGCACACTACATCGCCCAAAGCAACGGCAGTCAATGAAGAGAGACTCTCACCGAGAAGCGTCCATTCCCCAAAATAACTCCCCTCGGTTTTCTCAACAGAAAAACTCTTATTACACATATCATCATTCGGTTTCTCAATTTCAGGTACGAGACTGGATATATCGACACTTTTTACTGAGTTCAAGTCACAAGTAACTTTTACGACTCCTTTTTGTACGATGTACAAACCCGAGAGGTCTTCGTTCTGCAGAGGTATATATGAATAGAATAAGATTAAAGGAATTGCAAAAATGCGTTCAGATTTCGAGAGCGAGTTTACCTTATCGACTATTTTCTGCCCATCGGAGAAAGACACTTCTGAAAGCGAATCTGCAATATGACTCAGCTGTAAGATTGTCAACTTTGATAGAAGATCTACTGATCGAAGTAACTTCAATGAGGATAGATTAGAAAACTCGGACATGAGAATTCCTCTAAAATCTTCTCTTTTAAGCGCCCACAGAATTCCATCGGTCACAGCTCGAACAGAAGCTTGGAGTGGCTTGTTGTACCTGCAGTTTAATATATTGTAAAACTGGAAATTTATGTGATATAATTGAGCTCGATACACTATATAAAACGCATCTACATTCACAGAGATACAAACTCAGTTAATATATATTTTCTTTCGGTAATATCTACAAACTAAGTTGAATATACGTACAAGTACAGTGCAAGTAACAATTCAGCATTCCGATTAATCACATCACTAGAGAAGGAAGTAAAATGCATGTCGACAAATAAAAGAACTATACATGTATAGTTCTTTTAATCTTCAATAAAAAGAACTAAACACATTCTTGCAGATTCAGTTGAGTCTACCGATTTTTAATGAACATAAACAACACTGCACTGTATTTATTAGCATGGAAAGAGGAAAATGTAGATATCTCACATCAGTGCAAGTTCCCCGAATGAAGATAATTTTTCAGCAGTGTACCGCTGTAGTACCCTGGATACTTCTCCGTTTTTCTCTTCCTGAAAATAAATAAATAAATAAATATTAGCACTTCATAGTTTGAACTGAAATTAGTTTCTAATGAGAGTGAGAAAGTAAAAGATACTATTTTTTTCTGCAAAGGATATAAATGATTGTGGTCGTAGAATGCCGAACCGAAATTCACCTGAGTTGCAGAAACCTCAAACTCCCCATTGCCGACTACGTAGAAACAGTCACCGTCTCCACCCTGAAACATTTATACAAATAAGTTAGTGTTTTTACATCATTTGCCATGCACTGGTTACTCATTACGAGTTTTGAAGTTTTTATACAGTAATATATACTATACATACAAAATTATAAAAACGAATTAAAGAAATACGTCCAAATTCGTTAAACTAGTCAATTGGTACAACGGCAACCCCTTCACGAAGAAGTGTCTTAACTCTTAACAGCTAAACACAGTACACTATTTTGGCTGGAATACTCCAAAACTCAATTCTTGCAATAGTCACTTAGTCAATTTTAAGGAATTTCAAAAGGAATATGAGAAAAAGATCTTCATTCTAGAACTAGATAATGAGTTAGATAAACATACCTGCTGTACCACTATCTCTCCGGCTTGAACCTCAACTCTTTGCATGCAATCCAACAATACATGGCACTGAGAATCAGTAAGCTTTCTGAAAAGAAAATGATCGCGCAAGGACCGTTCAATTTGACCCTGCAATGAATGGATTATAAATCAACTCAGATCCGTGACGTACATAGTTTCGGTGAGATTACATTTTTAGAAAATTCAAAAGACAAGAGAGAGCAATCTACTTCTTCTTCCCAGGTCTTTCTGTGGGCTGGAGAAGAAGGAACCCAAGCTTGCCCACTCTCAAGAGAACTTTCAAGTGCACGAAGACGTGCACGAGATATATCATGCCTTGCACGATTTCTTGATCTCCAGTTCACAACAGATGGAGACTCTGATCCCGATACTTCAATCACGTGAGGTAAAGGTCTTAACTCTGCATCAGACTTTGCCGATTCACCAAATGCAGCCTGTGGGTATTATAGTTGCAATGAACTAAATCAAGTGTTCGAAGTAATACGAGGGGAAAAAATCAAAACAAAACTATATGAATCGTAATGAAGGTCAGGGTATTTAAGTGGCTCTGCATACATCATTTAAACCGTTTATATGTACGACTATCACAGTAATGTCATCGGTTCGAGTTTCGTATTGTAGCCAGAGACGATATGATTCAGCAACAATTGCAGCACAAGCATCACGTGGGTCCTTATGTTTTGCAACCTGAAAATCGACGGTAGAAAATTAGAGCAATTAAAGCAACACAAATATCATTGCTTATATATTTCCTCGTTATTTTAAAGGTTCCACAGTCTCGATTCTTCCTCCATTGCTACTGCTACTACTACTCGGTCAAAAACAGAGACGAAACATGGCAGAACGAGAATATTGGTATCAAATTGAACGTACAGATTTTGAGATAACATTAGAAGCTCTTTAAATAACAAAAAAACTAGAACATCCTTCAGCACAGGCATCGAAAACGTTAGTAATTTTCGAGATAAAAAATGTAATTTTAGATGAGTCTACATACAGTTGGGTTTGGTGATTTCCGGAGCTGTTAGTAATTTTAGAGATAAGAAAAATGTTCTTTTGCCTAGTCACTTTCAGTAAAAGCCAAAGCCGTTTCGCTATTTTCCCAACGGCACAAATTGCTGCAGCATTCATATACTACCGATTGCAGCAAAACCATCGGCAAAAAAATAAAACTCCGATGTTTTTAGTGAAATACAAAATTATTTGAAGCTTAAATATATACCACATGACAATACCTACTTTCGATATTACCTACATTGCGTCAAGGATTTCATTTATTTAACATGTCTTCCCAAATTATTCTAGGATCGTATTTCTTGTTCCATTTCATCAGTTCCCTTTGGTTTTCTAACAAATTTTAACTTTTTCGGAACCCAAACCTTTTCAAACAAGAAAAAAATATATATCTTCCATTACTAAACTTCTATATAAGTGAAATCAAATACACAGACAGACTAACTAATATTGCCCGTCGATATTCAACAAAATCCATCATATATCATTTCAAAAAAAAAATAATCGCATTAGCAATAGGAAAAAAATAATCGCATTAACAAAAGGCGAAATTACCATTTCCACCACACTCTGGCTCGAAAGAAACTCAAACACACCATCACTCGCAATCACAAAGAACGGATTACTCTGCGTTAGCTCCATAACAACAATTTCTGGATTAGCCACAACCCCAATCGTCTCGGCGATAGAATCACCGATACTCCTCGTAAAAGCTGTACCAGGATACATACCGTTCTGCACCCAAAGCCTAGGAGGGTCGCCGTCATCTTCTTCTTCAGTCCCCCAACACTGCACGTTCGGATCTTTAAGCCCTTCAATCTGATCCAACGTAAGAACCCTAGCTCCACATAGCTTCACCCTTTCGAGTTCGTCTGGCCGAAAAGGCGTCTGGTCAATCGAGAGGTCAACAGCTACAATATCACCCCCCCTTCTCTCGGCTATAATAGCCCTCGAATCGCCCGAATTGGAAACGTAAACTGTCCTGCCACGAACAAGAACCGTAATTGCCGTTGTGCCACTCATGCTATCGTCCAACTGATCGGCGTGCAGCTGCGAATTTGTTGCCACGAAAGCTGCATGGCATGCTTCGACTGCATCCATGTGGAACCGACTGTTCCGAAGCAAATTCTCGCATAGCTTCTTCTTCGCAAACTGCGAACACTGCGCTCCGAATTCACCATGGCCATCAAAAACACCGAAGAAATGATCATCCGGGCTGGCTCCAAATGGAGTGTGGATGCAGAAACTATCTTGATTAGCTTTATCGAGTGCATCCGGGTAGTAGCCTCTCTGAGAGAGAAACGAGTATCGCATTTCGTAACTGCCAGATGGCACTGTCACAACCCTCGATCCATTGGGCGGCAAGAACTGAGCCGAGACCCTCGAGAGCCTAGTAATACCAGCTTCAGTAGTGGAGTTTAACTGATATAATTGGTCTCCGTTTTCTCCTTCATCGCTATCGGAATCGGCAGGCGAAAACACTGCAATTTCACTTCTAGGTTTCTTCAGAGCTCCACTTTCTTGCACCTTAATTTCTCCCCGGGGAGCACACAACTCGCCTATACACGTCTTGGAATAAACACAACCCATCACTCAAAACACCAATTCAAGACCAACCCGGATCCCCGAAAAATCGTCGAAAACTGGCGCATCAGTTTTCCCAAAATACTGCAATCTGTCAAATGAACACCAAAATTTCTCAATATCAAAGTATTGGGGGCATTTCATATCAATTCAAATCTCAACACACAATCAAAAATAGATCATGGAAAATGAAACAATAGCAAACAGCCGATTAAACATATATATACTGGCCACAAATTTATATCAATTAAACCACCAATTGGATCCTCAAACCAGTAGCTATTAAGCAAAAACTCGAGAAAAATCAAATTGCCTTCACACTTGACACTCACACCAAAATTTTTTATTTTTTTTAAAAAAAAAAAAAAAAAAAAAAAAAAAAAAAAAAAACAACAACAACAACACAGTCGGACAACACGAATCAAAAACACTTGAATCAAGAGAGAAACGACACACAATCCTCAAGTACAAGCAAAACCCATCATAATTACAGCAGAAATAACGCGCCTAATTCAAAAAATCATACAATAGTAATTATCAACTGTGAAGCGAAAAAAAAAAAGTAGAGAGAGAAGATACATACTTTCTTCGAAGATAGATACAGGGGGGAGGTGGTGGTTTATTGGAATGGTCGGATATTGGATGAAGAGAGAGAGTAGGATGTGGACTGTGGACTGGAGACGTAGCACTGCATGTGTGTGTGTGAGAGAGAGAGAGAGATTGTGGAGAGAGATTGTGGGGTCTTTTTTCATTCTCTCTCTCTCTAAATTTGGTAACTTTTGAGTTGGGAGTAGCCACGCGCTTAGGTCTACACGCGCCGCCGTAAAAATAAGTTGATGGGGCTCAGTGGGTGGTCAGTGATGGTGGGGATGATTAATTGGACCCACGCCAGCCTCTCTCTCAATTTCTTTGTGAATAAAAAAATAAGAATAAAAAAAAAAAAAAAAAATTATTAGTATTATTTTTTTATTTTTTTGTGGTTGAAACTTGAAAGGATATCTTTTCATGAAAAGAAATAAAATAAAAAGTAGCCAATAAAATGAATTATCCAAATATTCTTATTTGTTTTAAGGGTAAATTACAAACACCCCCCTGAGGTATGGTCAAATTACAAAAATCCCCCTATTATTTGGATAATTACATCTACCCCGCTCAGCTATGATTTTTTCTTACACCTCCACTCTTATGGTGCCAAATTCAACATAATTATCTAGATTCCGTGGAATTTGCTCTAGTTTGTACTCATTTTGTGTAAAAATACAGTTTCCGATGCACCACAAACTGATATATACAAGCTAAAAAACACATATTATGATCATCTTGCTTCATAATGTAGAGTTCGAATTGGATAAAACGGATACAAAAGTGATAATATTCCATGTAATCTCGAAGACTCCACTAAATTTGAGGAGTTGAGGGGTGGTCGTAATTATCCAAACAAGAGGGGTGTTTTTGTAATTTGACCATACCTCAGGGGGTGTTTGTAATTTACCCTTGTTTTAATAAGATGAGATATTATACCAACTTGTATTTCTAATTTTTTTTCAATTTGAATTATTACATGGATGGTTGTGAACTTCGTGTGGAAATATTTTTTTAAGACTCGTCATCTGCAAATGCAGTGGTTTAAATTAATAAAGGTATATATATGTATTGAGTTAAACGGGCTCTTGAAAGAAAGACGAGCAACTTCATGCATTAATCCTCGGTTTCCTTGTCGTTTAATATGAGTTGATGAGAAAAAAAATCAAATTCTCTTATCGCTGCTCGTATATCGTATAAAATATTGTCATAGCTTGATCTATTTTCTCGAGTCCGATAGATAGTTCTCATATCTATAATAATACTAGCATCCTCTAGATTATTACTCTTCTCAAACTGTTCATACGAGTCAACTCAGCCCCGTACCGTGCATCCACCAATAGTTGGTGGATTAAAGAAAATCACTGAAAATGGGAATTGAGAAATATTTTTGAATTAATCATGAATTCTAAATTTAGTAAGTTGTTTTTTTTTCTTCTATATAATTAGAAGTCTGGATAAATCATGCCTTTTCTAAAGAAAATAAATTGTGAAAAATAACATTATTTTATATATATTTAATATCTATTGATAATAGGAATTGTATTACAAAATGTATAAATCCATTTAATTTCAAAATTGGGAAGGAAAAGGCCTCACTATTTAATATTTATATTATTTAATTCGACGAAATTTCACTATATCCACAATTTAATTTCCATTTATACAAATTTAGATGCAATAAATAAATCCAAATATTATAATATCCACCGCAGCAATAAATGTACAACCCACACGAAAAGAACCTCCACGTGCGCAGTTTTGGCATCCACATCCTCTCTTACTCATTTAACAAATGGTCCCTTGAATTTTTTTATTTTTTTTAAATACTTTATATAAAAAACATTTATACTTCATAATTTAGCTACAAATTTAATAATGGAAAATTATATAAAAGTTCTTCACTAAGTTGCATAATTAGAGATAGTGGGCAAATTTATTTATTTTTCTTTTTTCCAATTAAAGCCCTTCATGTATCTTTTAATTAGTTGTTGTCAAATTTGTCGCTGAATCAAGTTGTTGCAATGAACTCATTTCTTCCGTCGTCGGACTTTAGTCGGTTGACATTAGACGAGTCGATTGATTACATTATGTTGAGCCAACTGAGTCAACTAATTCAGTTCAGTTGGTTATCGATTCAACTAGCTGATTTGGTTCACTTGATTAAAGAAAGAAGATAGACGATCTGTTCTAGAACTATACCGTGAAATGATGAGACACTTCACACTAGTCAAATTTGAGGATATATTTACAATAGAACACTACAAAAAGACATTATTTTGAAATTAAAAAAAAATGTATTCTATTACCATCAATTATAATAGATTATAGAGACTTTTCTCAAATGTGAAATTGCATGCACATTCTAGTCAAAAGTACTTATTGATGTATCATTCAATCATGTAATGGTCGGCACCTAATTTTATCCTTTTGAATGTGGAAAAAATTATAAGTAACAAGTCCACCAATATTCTCTTCATGCAATATTTATAAATAAACATAAAAAATAAAATTTGGGGAATTAAAATATTGGACATTGGGAATTGCTTGTAATATTCACATGCATGTCACTATTTAATTAGGGATACTTAAGTGTCACAAGATGATGATTTAGTGTGGAATATTTGGATTTGTGGACTGAAATTTTATATTTTTTTAATGGTCAAAACCCGATTCGATGTGTTTAAATAATGATCACGAGATTCTAGGTGCGCGGTTTTATTCAGAGTTGTCTTTTAAAGGGTTTTGTAGATGTTATACCCGATGAAATACACTGGATCTTTCGTGTTGAATGTAACATAAAGCTAACATCATTTCTTTCGTGTTGCCCACTTTCTTTTTCCCGAAAGGATCAAATAATATTTGTCAATAAGTGAAAATGTCAATAATTGAATAATATTGATCATTATGTATACTTTGATAAATCAATATTACTAATTTATCCAAATATTTTATAATCGATAGCAACTGATAATAAGCGGTGTATGTTCGGGGCCCACGAGATAGCACAAGCTCTACATTGGTATGAATTTGGGTCAAACCCAATTAATTTTGTTATTGGGTTTCCCTAAAAGACTCATAAATTAGTGGTCTTTCACATATTAAACTAATGTGAGATCATGCTTACACCTCAATAGTGCACTCGATTCATTCACGGCACTTTCGTCCGAATTATTTCATCAAATCCGTTATCCAATAATTGTATTAAAATAAGATTTTAGTATATGATAATATTATTAGTCTATGAAATTTATTGTATTTAGGGGTGGAAATCGGAAAGAAATTTCAAGAATCCTTCGATTCTGATCCGAATTCGGAACCCCTTTCTTTCATTTCGATTTTTTCCAATTACGGTACCATTAATGTAATTACATATAACTTTTTATATGATATGAGATAATAATTAAGTTATCAGATAATTGGGGTGACGTGGATGGCAAAACTGAAATGGATTTACTTGTCAGAAATGTTGTTGATAGTTTGATGGACATGGTATTGATAGCACTAGTCAATATGCCTTATTTAATATTTACAGTTGCACTTTTTTTTTTTTTTTTGCAATTTAATTAAATTACTTGTGATTTAATTTATGCAATATTTTTATAAGGTGAGTGTCCAAGTTTCGTTCGACTAAATCTCGAGGCCAAATAAAATAAATACGCACTCGAAAACAACCCCAACGACTTGCTTGCTAAAAAACTTACGTTTTTAACCAAGTAAAAAGCCGAACTTTTCGAGCTCATACCCAATAAAACAATCATTTATTGGGTTGGTGATAAGGGGACGATTCTTTAGGCCCGCCTCAATGGCAAATTGTAGGGATGGTTTCGATTCGGTTATCGGACATTTAGTTCGACAATAGGTAGTGTACGTACTGTATGTTGCGGTATTGAAAATTTTCATACTGTTACTGTACCAATAATTGTATACGGTAATTTTTGAAAATGCCCAAAAAAAAATGGAGAGACAAAAGTTATGAAATAATGTAAGAATGAAAAAAAAAGTATATATTGTTGTGCAGGTGTATGCAAAATGCAATGCATCTGAGAAATGTCTACAAAGAGTGTAGACATGATGAAAGAAATCACATGGGTCATGGGTCCGACCCGCCGACCCGGCAAGATCCAAACCCTGTTTACTAAGCACCAGTTCATGTGGGTTGGATAGATTTGACTATTTGGTTTTTAGCTTTGTCGTTTTGATTTTTGAATTTCATGCTAAAGAAATTAAATTGTAGTATTTAAAAAAAAAAAAAAAAAATCAAAGAACACCTCAATTTGAAATATTCAAAATGATGGGATTTAATGATTTATATATTATGAGAATATTTTCATTTTCAATTAAATCGATTTGAAATGTACCACAATAATTGAAGAGGGAAAAAAAATTTCGTGTAACATTCAGACCGGATTACTCTATGAAATTGCGTCGATATTTTCACATATTACGGGTAATGTAGGACATAACTCGATTTTCTTCATAGGAATCTTTAGAATAATCCGTTCTCCTCTCTTTGAAAGAAGGGTCGCTTCCTATTTTGTCGGTGCTTGTGGAAAAAAAAAGAAAAAAAAACTTAGAATGACAGTTAAAAAATTGAACTATAGTTGGTTTGCTTGGTATAGTATCTATCTATTATTCTTATTCTATAATTAGTAAATTCGGGCCCAAATTGAGATATGTCACACAAAGAAGAGCCCAATTTGTATTATTTATAAAAAACAAAATTATGATTTTTTTTTTATATATATACACTATATATGAAAAAAAATACTTAATCATCTGAAAAAATTGAGTTTTGGGGGGCGTTTGGTAAAATTTTATTTAAGAAATGATTAATTCTATTGCTCACAACTGGTTTTATATTTGGTCCTCCATATTTATAAAATATGCATTTGGTCCCTCGTGTTTCAATAATTTAACATTTTTGACAATTTCTGTTGGTTTACCGTTAGTCCGTTAGTTAAGGAAGTGACGGGCACACTTTTGAATCCGTTAGTAGTAACGAACAATTGACGAAAAATACTAAAAGTGTTTACATGAGGGACTAAATGTGGAATTCGTTCAAAGTTTAAGGATTAAAAAATTATTTCCCCCTATTAGAAATTGTTTATTTATTCCACATCGTCTTCATTTTGTCGGTTGTACAGTACACTACCATGTTTGTTCACAGTTCGTACTTCTTAAATCCTACTTAGCAGCGGCGAACCAAGCTCTATTTCTCTCTCTAGAAACCTCGATTTCTCTCTCTAGCAACCTCTTCAGGCAACGGCGAGTCAGATACTAGGTAGGTTTATCTTTCTTCTGCTTTCTGGTTTCTCCTTAACTGTGTGTCTCTGCGTGTTCTTCCGATTTTCCAACATTTCTCTGTGAAATTAATGACGGCGAAGATGATTTTATTAGTTTGATTACTAAATTAAAAATTAAAATAAAAAATTCAGATATATATGCAGTTAATTTTATTTATTGTGAGTGAAAATATTGATTGTTGCTGTTCTGAAACCCCATTCATAGTTAACCCTTCGTCCATTGTAGATACCCTAATTACCAATTACTCATAGTTTATAGAGCCATTTGCGATTGGGATTATCTGTGTGTAGTATTTCACTTGGGATTTGGGGAAATGTGATTCCAAATGCAAACCCTATCGTGTTCGTTAACTTTGTCCAATGTGGATGTTTCAAATCGATCAATGTAGTTCGAGTTCATGTTGCAATTACTTAATGTTTTATGCCAGTATGATTGACGAAGCCCAAGAAATTTCTTCCGTTTTTTTTAATCCGGGTAAAAATGAGTCGTAGAAGACTATAAACAACTGAATTGTGGGTATTTAATAAGTGCTCCGTCTCTCGGCTTCTGTGTTTTATTGTCTTGACTGTGCTATTGCTTCTTCCCTAACAACCGAAACCCCCCGTTTTTTTTTTACAGATGTTACTACCTTAATCATGGGACGACAATTCATGGTGAGAACATACTTTGGTAATGGATAGATCTTCTGATTCGTTTTATATTTGACATGGACAATGGACTTTTATTTCGAAGACTTCATCATCTCCATATCAAGAAACTCATACTCTCAATAGGAATTTTAGCTGTTGTTCTGTCTCTTCTCCACTTATTTGCATTTCCGTATGGGAACTACTTATCAATTTTCCCACACGACAATGTGGTTTCGATTTCATCGACCAATGGTAGCAAACCCTTTTCCGTAAATCCTAAATTGACCGATTCCGATAGTAATCTTGATCAAAAGATTGACAGCGATCATAATCTTCCATCAGATGATGTGGGACAGGTGGACACTGCACTTGAAATGAAGGAGATCAATTTAAACCTCGTATCCATTTTCGAACCTGAAAAACCAGTTCTTGTTTTGCCAAAGAATTTGTCTTTGGTACACGACAAAGAACCTAAGATCGAAGGCAGTGATATATCTGTTACGCCTATTAGCTCTGCACTGAGAAAGAAGGGAGGAAAAGCTATGTCAATCACTGAGATGAATTCGCTACTGCTCGTTAATTCTGCGGAGAAGAAGTTAAAGGTATGTGTTTAAAGTTGCAATAAAATTTCCCAAATGGCTTAAGACATATGTACATTTTTACACCTTAACCAATTTGTATAATCTGTGTATAGAGGCCAAGGTTGGCTTCTCAACGCGATCGGGAATTGCAAGATGCCAAATATCAAATTCTAAACGCTCCCATACAAAGGAGTATTTCTCAAGTTCATGCTTCTCTTTTCCGAAATTATTCCATGTTCGTAAGGTACTATTGCCCGAATCAAGTGACATCCCAATTCCTAGTATTCTTTTGTCAGTAATAAAATACTTCTCAAACTCTAACATTCTATGTTCGTAATAATTGCTTCTTCATACACAGGAGTTACGAATTGATGGAAAGCAAATTTAAAGTTTATATATACCGCGAAGGAGAAAAACCGATTTTCCACAATCCATACACGAGGGGTATATATGCTTCCGAAGGATGGTTTATGAAATTGATGGAGAAAAATAAGCAATTTGCGGTCAAAGACCCCAAAAAGGCTCATATGTTTTACTTACCGTTTAGTTCAGTAAAGCTGAGAAACGCACTTAACGAATCGGGTTTTCGCAGTCAAAAGGATTTGGAAAATCATCTGAAGAAGTACGTTGATATAATCGCAACTAAATATCGTTTCTGGAACAAAAGAGGAGGAGCAGATCATTTCCTTGTTGCTTGTCATGATTGGGTATGCCTTCTAAACCTTTAATCAACTTTTGCCTTCACTATATATGTTCCTGTGGCGGAGCCGTAAATTTGTTTTTGTGGGAGTTAATTGTCACTAATAGTTCTCTAGGGTGCAAACAATTTTAACTTATTTCGGAGGATAACAAATCTGGATATAAAACAGTGTATTCTCGAACAATAGTTGGGGTTACGGGCGGAAATCGGATTGAACTTGGCACTTTCGGAGACATTCTATTTTTTTTTTTTCGGAAAACTAATTCCAATTTTGTTCCACATAAATGCGGAAATTTGAAAATCGGAATTTCCGCAATGGGATTGAAAAAACTTGTCCAAAATCGGAAATTTTTCGGATCGGAATAGACAGAATTCGGAATTCCAATGTTTTGGTCACTTGTATACAAAATACATAATAAAATTGATCTTATAAATCTAATTTTTGGAAGGAAAAGTTGCAATTTTCGGAAAAAATATTAGATCGAAAATCGGAATCTAATATGTATTCCAATTTTGTTCCAAAAATACAAAACGATAATCGGAACCTTCAGAATTCGGAATACAAATATTATTCCAAAATCAGAAATTTTCAGATCGGAATTGGCAAATTTTGGAAATTCTGTTCCAATTTCCACTCCGAGGTGGTGGCATGGTTTCATCAATGTGCCATTTATTTGTTGAGTCTTTATATCTGTTTTTTGTTGACTGATCAATAAATATATACATTTTTTGAAGTAGAAAAAGGTTTTTACTTTTCAGGCCCCTCGCTCTACAAGGAAGATTTTCGAAAATTGCACAAGAGCCCTCTGCAACTCCAACATTGCAGGAGGCTTCAAAATCGGCAAAGACGTATCTCTACCCGTAACATACATACGCTCCTCAGAGAATCCATTAAAAGACATCGAGAAAAACCCGTCTCCGAATAAAACTATTCTAGCCTTCTTCGCCGGAGGAATGCACGGTTACGTACGTCCGATCCTCCTTCACTACTGGCAAAACAAACAGCCCGACATGAAAATTGTGGGGCCCATGCCTCGAGATATTGAAGGCAAGGCAAAATATAGGGAGTTTATGAAAGCCAGTAAATATTGCATATGTGCTAAAGGGTACGAAGTTCACACTCCACGAGTGGTGGAATCTATTTATTACGAATGTGTCCCTGTGATTATATCCGATAATTATGTGCCCCCGCTTTTTGAGGTTTTCGATTGGGAATCTTTTGCTTTGTTCGTTCTGGAGAAGGATATTCCAAATTTGAGAGAGATATTGCTTTCTGTATCGGAAGATAGATACGCAATGATGAAGAGGAGATTGAAGATGGTTCAAAGGTATTTCTTTTGGCATAAAATTCCTGAGAAATACGACTTGTTTCATATGATTCTTCATTCGGTTTGGTACAGTAGAGTGTTTCGGGTTTTGTAGTTCGAGGGGGCGATGACCCCCCGCCACTCGTGAAAAAAAGTTCTATTTTTGTATAGAGATTTATCAAAAAAAAAATTCATGCAATGTAGTGTAGTATTGTTTCTCCAAAGAAAATAGAAAAAAGAATTGTTTGTATATATTTCGGCCATGTGAATTAATCTAAGATACACTATGGTAGTTGATTTTACTGTTAGTAGGAAATCATTAGAGTCTCCTACTATTTTGGGTAAATTACAGTCACCCCTATGAGTAAAGTGAAATTACGAAAAAATCTCTCATGTTTGGGTAATTACAATCACTCCATAACAATGAATCTTCTTAAACGTCCACCCTTATGGTTTCAAATTCAAGAGGATCTTCTAGATTTCGTCAAAAATATTCTCTAGTTTGTATTCGTAAATTGTGCAAAAATGTAGTTTCTGATGCATCACAATCGGAGTTTTACAAGCCGAGAGAAGCATCTTATGATCATCTTGTTTCAAGATATGGAGCTCGAACGGTACAAACCTCGTGAATATTTCACATAATCTAAAAATTCCAATAAATTTGACACCGTAATGATGAGGGTGTATGAAGATTCATGATTTAGGGGGATTATTGTACCCAAACATGAGAGTTTTTTTTTATAAGCTGGCATAATATCATAATTTACACTATATTTGAAAATTGTTCAAAAGACCGTTGCCGAAATAACTATTTGAGGGGGTAATTGCAATTTATTAAACAACAGGTGTCGATTTATAATTAGATAAAACCCAGCGTTGCTAATAGCAATTTTCACAAAAGGAAAATGTACGTTCTTATGCTCTGAGCAAAATCCAGAGCTTCAGTCCGAGTTTTCATGGAACTCTCACTTCACTAGAAGGAAAGAGAAAAAGAAAAGGATGGCGCTAAAAACCCAATTCCCGCTATTTGCGCCACCGCACCTCCTCCCCCAACCCCACCGCGCCCCGACCGAAATCCGCTTCTCGCGGTGGAACAACGCCAACGCCCAGAAATTCATCCGCCACGAGCGCAACCAGAAAGAAATCGAGGACCAACTCCGCTTCGAGAAACGCTTCGACTCCGCCCTCGTAATCTCCCACAATTACAACCCTGCCCCTCCCCACCACACCGTCTTCAAATCCACCGGCACCCCCTCCGCCCCCTCATCCCCCTCCATCCCCGGTAAATCCTCCAAATACTCCAAACCCCCTCCCCACAAACCCCCCCACCCCGCCTTCAAACCCCCACCCAAACCCCGCAAAATCCCCATCCCGCCGGCGAACGAAATCGAAACCCCAAATCCCGTGGGCCCCAATTTCAGGATTGACGAGAATGGGGTTTCGTACGAAATGCCGGAGGCGCCGTTTGTTTACCAGTACAGCTACACCGAGACGCCGAAGGTGAAGCCGGTGAAGCTGCGTGAGCCGCTGATGTCACCGTTCGGGCCCGTGACGATGGCGAAGCCGTGGCTCGGTCGGAGGCCGCTGCCCCCCAGCAAGAGGAAGCTGCCGGAATTCGATTCGTTTCAGCTTCCGCCCCCTCATAAGAAGGGGGTGAAACCCGTTCAGGCCCCCGGCCCGTTTCTTCCCGGCTCGGGCCCGAAGTACGTGAAGTCCCGTGAGGAGATTCTCGGCGATCCATTGTCGAAGGAGGAAATCAAGGAGCTCATAGACGGGAGTAAAAAATCCAACCGACAATTAAACATGGGTATAAATATATACATTGTTATGTTCGAATGAATTATCGTGTTTCTATGTGAAATTGCCGAATTTAAATTGCTTGTCGATTGATTAAATTCGAACTTTCTGGCTTCAGTTCAGTTAATTGGTAGAATCTTTAAATTTCGCTTTACGTTATTATTGTTTTTCTCGACTCTCGGTCTTGATTTGGTGAACTGTATGATGAACTGCTCGTTGGCTGGACTCTGACAACTCACTGAGTCGTTTCTCATTAGCAATATCGAAGAAAATGTATGAATTTGTCTCAAGTTTCTCTGTGCAGGAAGGGATGGTCTAACGCATAACATGCTGGATAATATACACGCACTTTGGAAGAGACGAAGGGTGTGCAAAATAAAATGCAAGGGTGTGTGCACAGTCGATATGGAAAACGTGTGCCAACAATTGGAGGTTGGTACGTTCAACTTGCTCGTCTTTAAAAGAAGATTTTGACGTTTTATTTATTTTCAGATATTTCGTCTTTGTTCACTTAATTTGTCAAGAAATTTCCTTCATCGAAGAATTATTTTCACTTTTCACGGTTAACTTGTCTCCTCACGTACATTTTGTCAATGTGCAATAGATCATTGTAATTTGTTGATGGTTTTATTCACATATTAATCGATATAATCGTCCACGTTATGTATCTGTCTTCAAATGAACGAGCCGTATTTTGAGAATTTTTTAGATAGAATCTTAATATTGTAAGAAGTTGGATAAAGATCATGTGCTATCATGAGTGTATTTTGATGAAAATAAGGTAACCATCCGATGAAATTCGAATGTAGTCTCGTGTAAGAACATGGTGTGGATTTCTTGATTTTTTTTTATTATTTTTTTTTCTGTCAAGAAGGTTTTCTTATGAAATTTGTGACCGTACCGTAATAGGATAAAACCGGAGGGAAGATTATATACAATAGAGGTGGTGTCATATATCTTTTTCGTGGGAGAAACTACAACTATAAATCTCGACCTCGTTTTCCTCTCATGCTGTGGAAACCTATTAGCCCAGTTTACCCGAGACTTGTTCGACGAGTTCCCGAGGGTTTGACTTTAGAAGAAGCTAGTGCTATGCGGAAAAAGGGCCGTGATCTAACACCAATATGCAAGCTTGGTATGCAATAATTTCTATTTTACGCAATTTTCCTATGTTTCGGGTAAAATATAAACTGGTTTGAATTTGCAATGTGTGTATTTTTGCAGCGAAAAACGGTGTTTATTCCGACCTTGTAGAAAATGTTAGGGAGGCATTTGAAGCCTGCGAATTAGTACGAATAAATTGTCAAGGTCTGAATCCGAGCGACCACAAGAAAATCGGTGCCAAACTCAAGGTATATATATATATATATATATATATATATATATATATATATATATATATATATATATATATATATATATATATATATATATATTTATTCAACATTTATGATAATTTCGAGATCTTAAAATGCAGGCTCTTGTCCCATGTGTACTAATATCGTTTGAATATGAACACATACTCGTATGGAGAGGACGAGATTGGAAGTCCACTCTGGACCTTAACGGGGGTCTGAAGGGATCGAAGAAAGTCGAACCAGCGCCAGGTGTCACAAGCTTATTGGTCACGGAGGCAACATCGAATGATGTTGAAGACGATGTAGATGAATCTGAGAAATTTCCCGTTTCTTCAAGTGATCAAACGGTAGTGGAACCAAAATCCGATCAAACGGTTGAGAACGAATTAACAGTGTTGGAGGGTTTAGAGGAACCAAAATCCGATCAAACGGTTGAGAACGATTTAACAGTGTTGGAGGGTTTAGTGGAATCACAATCCGATCCAACGGTCGAGAACGATTTGCAGAATCTAGCGGCATCGCAAACGAGGCCGGAAAAGAAGAACACGGAAAGTACTCAGGCAATTCTGCTACTGAGAAAGCAAGCTGTAGAAAACGGGATGGCATTAGTGTTTGACGAACACAGCGTATTATTAGATTCAGACGCAGTGTTTAAAACGGCTGTTGCTTTTGCCAAGACCGCTCCAGTGGGTCCCGTTTTTAGCAAACGACCTAAGAAGGCGGTAGAAGAAGTCGAGAAGAGCAAGAAGAAGAACAACAAGGGACGAGAATGTAACGATTTGGTGTTGTCGAAAGGTGCATCGGCTTTAGGTACCGGAATTTACGTATCGAAAGGGATGGATGAAAGGAAGAATTCTTCTAGAAACGAAAAATTGAAAGATATTAGAGGAGATTATCTGAATGTAGTTCCACAGGGTAACCTGGGAATAGATGAACTTGCTAGGTTATTGAGATAATTGTTTATTTCTTCAAGTTAAGAGGATGTTTAGAAGTTGCAATTAAAATTTTATTTTAATCTTATTTTTGTGAAATATTTTGAATGTCCCATTATTATATTCAAAATAAAAAATAACAACCGTAAAAAAACATTTATTACAATTTGGGTAAATTACGGTCACCCCTGAGGTAAGCTCAAAATTACAAAAAAAAATCTTTAATGTTTGGGTAGTTACAACCAGCCTCCCTCAACTATGAATCTTCTTACGCGTCAATTCCTTACGGTGTGAAATTCAATAGAATCTTCTATATTTCTTGGAATGTTCTCTAGTTTGTACTCATTTTGTGCAAAAATGATGTTTTTGATACAACACAATCTGATATTTACAAGTCAAGAGACACATTTTACGATCATCTTGTTTCAAAATGGAGCTCGAATGGGGGTAAAACGAGTACAAACTAGAGAATACTCCACATAATCTAGAAGATTCCACTAAATTTGACACCGCATAGGTTGACGTGCCAAAAGATTCTTAGTTTAGGGGTGGTTGTAATTACCCAAACATGAGGAGTTTTTCGTAATTTGACATTACCGCAGCGGGAATGACAGTAAATTACCCTACAATTTTTGAATTACCTCTAGTTTTTAGGGAATCATGAATTTACTTGAACAAAAGACAAAGCTGCATTTACCCAACCTTAAAAAATAGTAATAAAAATTAAAATTAAATGTATTTTTGGTATTGCAAACTTCCCCCAAAACTAAGGTATGAGACATAAAATAAAATGAAGGTGGTGTTCTGAAATACAAACTTGTAATCAATCCTTAAAACCTAAGTCCTGTTTCTTTCTTGCAACTCATCTGCCTTAACACCATCTTCACTCTCACAATACCTTTTCCAGAACCAATGATCTTTCCACAACAAATGTATCTCCTCGATCGGAACTTGCTTCGTTTCGGGCAACAAAAAGTATATGAAGCAGCTCATTATAAATATCAAACCGGCAAACAGCAAGAATATTCCGTATTTCAGGTGGCACAAAGCACCTAAGAAGCACTGCGCGATCAATGCCGTGAAGAGCATGTTCACGCACACCACCATACTCTGCCCCGCCGATCGAGTCTCTAACGGGAAAAGCTCGCTCGGGACTAACCACCCTAGTGGGCCCCACGACCTCCCGTAGGCAAGAACGAATACGAATATCACTATCACTAGGAATATTCCCGTTCCTTTGGATATTGTTTTTCCTTCCCCGAATTTTAGTGCTAGAGTAATTGCAACCGCGACCTATGGACAAACATTCACCGAAGTTTTCGTCAGTACACGAAAAATAACAAATCTCTATATATAAAACAGTAATTGTTTTTTAGATGGATATGAATTTATTTTTCTTGTATTTTTCGAAAATGACAAATCTTTATATAAAATATATAAAATTTTACAAGTGGTGGGGGGTCATGGCCCCCCAGCCTTATGCCGGCTCCACCACTGTTTGAAATTTAAATAATTTTCATTTTCCTCATTTCTTCAAAAATCCTCGATCCAAATGCGATTTTTCTACATAAATATTTACATACGAATTTCAAGAATGAGGTATGTATACATATATATATAGAGAGATAGAGGACTTACGAAGCAGAAGATCAACTCACAACCAGCTTCCAAGAAAAACGCCCTCCGACCAAACTTGTCGACAAACGCCATAGATATAAGCGTAGCCACAACGAGGGCCCCACTAGTAATAGCCGAAGAGTAAAGAGAAGCACCCGAACCAAACCCTAGACTCTGAAATATAACCGGAGCGTAAAACAGAATCGAGTTATTCCCCGTGAGCTGCTGAAAGGCCGGAATCCCTATCCCTCCCAAAACCAGCTGGGGCCGGTTCTTCCTCTTCAGAAGGTTCCGGAAGGGATGCTTTATCGCCTTGGCCGCTTCGCTCGCTTCTATAAGGTCTTGAAACTCCGCATCAACTTTCGAGGTTCCTCTAACTTTCTCTAGAATCTTCCGGCCCTCTTCCAGCCTCCCTTGCTCGACTAAGCTGTTGGGAGTTTCCGGAAGGAAAAGCCCGCCCACGAACATGAAAGTGGCCGGAACGGCGGCTAAACCTAGAGACAACCTCCACCCCCACGGATGAATTTTTTCAACTCCATAGTTTACGAAGTTGGCGATGAAGATGCCTAAGCATGTTGTGAGTTGGAAGAGCTGGTTTACGGCTCCTCTTATTTTCGCCGGCGCCATTTCTGATAGATATAGTGGGACCGCCTGTCACACAAAAAAAAAAAAATCGAATATAAGCTCGTGAAACCACGCCCTCCATTTTCACATATCTGTCATTTTAGAGATTTTGTTTTTCGTTCTGTATTATCTGTCAGTTTAGAATTTCAAAAAATTCAATACTGCATCAGTCACATAATTTCCAATTCTACCCTTATTAACTATCTCCAGCACCCTCTTATATGAATGAAGAGATTAGTGGGTGAGACTTGATGGATAAGGGTATTTTAGTCCAAAAATATATATTTTCCTAAAATCAAGCCACAAGCCACATTTATTGAGATTTGTAATAATTTTTGTTTCATATTATATGTCACTTTTAGAATTAATTCAAATACTGCACTAACTACATAATTTCCAATTCTACCCTTATTAACTCTCTCATACACGATTCGAGGATGAGAATTAATGGATAAGGGTATTTGAGTCCAAAACAAAATATATATATATATATTTCCCTAAAATCAAAGCCACATTCATTGAGATTCTTAATACTTGTGCAGAGGTGTAAAACGACACATAATGTAGAACAGAGGGAGATTATATATGCTTACTTGGTTGCCGAATCCAATGCCTATACCAAGGAGTACTCGACCGACGATGAGCATAGCGATATTTTGTGCGGAGGCATTGAGAATTGCGCCTAGGAAGAAACTAACGGACCCACAAAGAATACTCGCACGTCTGCCTTTGTTTCGGGTGATGTGGGAAGCACCGAAAGTGGAGAGAAGGGCGGCGAGGTAGAGAGATGAAGTGAAGAGAGTGAGGATTTGGTTGTCGTATTTGCAGTAGTCGGTTTCTTTGAGGTGTTCTTGTTTCCTTTCGTAGATTGATGGGAAGAATTCCTTCAAGAAATCATCCATGGAAGTCACCCCTCCTATTGAATTTGAGATAATTATTAATTAGTTAATAGTGTGTTTAAAATTTAAATTCAAGAAATCAAAATATCTGCTTCTTCTTGAACTCAAATCTCAATCTCTAATCAAGAATGATTTTTTATACAGCTTAATAGTGTTTTTGTGCGCAAAAGCCTCTGTTTTTTAAACTCGATTTCGATTTTCGATCACTCGTAACACGAAGATTTCGATAAATATGTCGAACCATAGAGTGATTGTGTAATGCATATTATTTAACTGACAGAAACTCCTTTGATGTATCCAATCTCTAATCAAGAATGGTTTTTTATACAGTTTAATAGTGCAAAAACCTCTGTTTCTTAAACTCGATTTCGATTTCGATCCCTCGTAACACAAAGATTTCGATAAATATATCGAAACAGAGAGTGATTGTGTAATGCATATTAGTAAATTGACAGAAACTCCTTTGATGCATCCAATCTCATAACAAGTGAATAAAAAATAGCATCTTTTTGTGCATTTACCAATTTTCAGATTCAAGAAAGCAAAAGAAAACTCAAAAACTAGAAAACCCCACAAACAAATTTCCTAAATACAGTGAATGAATGAATTAATAGAGAGAGAGAGAGAGAGAGAGAGAGAGAGAGAGAGAGAGAGAGAGAGAGAGAGAGAGAGAGAGAGAGAGAGAGAGAGAGAGATTACCAGAAACACCAAGATCATAGCCAAACAAAGAGCCACCCAAAGAACCAACAATACAGGCAAAAACAAAGTAAGATGTGATTCTGTACTCATACAGATGAGCTCTTGCTCCGCCTTTCGGGTCAACTATTCCTCCACCCGCCATTTTTTTCTTTCTCTCTCAAGAACCACAAGAAGAAGAAAAGAAACTGAAATATTTTAGAGTGAGAAAATAAAAATAAAAAACGGTGGGGGTTTAAATACAGAATAAATAGATCAAGATCTTGACGAACGAACGAACGAACGAACGTTATTTGTCTTTGTCCCAATTTCCACGGAATAATCTGTCTGGATAAACTCTAACAACACTACTAACAAGTATATACTGTCTGATTGATTTTTTTGTGTGAAAATTAATGAATTTTTTTTATGTAAACTTTGACCGCAAATCTTTATGGATTGCTGTCTTAAAATGTTTTTATTTAGTGTGGTGTATATATAAATAAAATATAAAAATAATTAAATTAAAAAAAAAAAAAAACCGACGTAAACTCTGCAATTTTTTGGTCAAATGGTGGGTTTTGGATAATATATTTTCTAAGACTTTGATTGGCCCTATAATTATGTTGTGCCATTCTTGTCCTATTCACCAGTTTATTTTATTATTATTATTATTATTTTTATTTTTTTTATTTTTTTTATTCAAAATATTCCAAAAATGGCTGACAGCAATCATCGTGTTAATTATTGGGAGTGGTTGATAGTTGATACTATGTTATTACAAATATCTTATTCATCATATTTCTTATTGAATTTAGGGTAAATTACAGTCAACTTAGTTATAGTATAAAAAATTCCCTCTTGTTTGTGTAATTACAATGATCTCCATCAACTGTGAATCTTCTCGCACGTTTGTCATTGTGGGGTCAAATTTAGCGGAATTTTTTAAATTATTTGGAATATTTTTCAATTTATATCCGTTTTTACCTCATTCGAGCTCCACATTTTAAAACAAGATGATTATAAGATGTGTCTATTGTCTTGTAAATATCAGATTGTGGTGCATAAGAAACTGTATTTTTGCACAAAACGAATACAAACTAAAGAAATATTTCACATAATGCTGAATATTATGTTAAATTTGGACATCATAAAGATAGATGTGTAAGAACATTCATAGTCGAATGACTTTGGCCTACACTCAAAGTCAGT